GAAATGAATTTTTTTTTTGTAAAAAAAAATATTTTGTTAATGAAATAGAATTATTTACTGTTTTCTATAATTATCATAACCATAAGGGAATCGGAATTGTTGAGGAAAACCACCATAGAAATTAGAAGCAGATGGAAATCCACCAGCAAAACTACAAAGAAATATAATTCATTGTTTTTTTGATAGCATTCTTTTATATAGTTTTTTGGTATAATTTAAATAATATAAATTATTTGATACAAAAAACTTATATAGACAGTGATCTTACCCAAAGTCAAAACCAAATGGGTAGCCCATTGAAGGATTGAAACCAAATGGGTAACCCATTGAGGGATTGAAACCAAATGGTTGGCCGAATGGTGTTGACGGGCTGCCGAAAGATTTTGAAGATGCGGCAGCAGGTCTTGCAGGTTCGTCGAAAGGTCCAAACCATGGAGCACCAAATATGGGTACTGGACCGGGAACTATGAGAAAATTAAGTGAAAAATAAATCAAGATACAATTTAAACAACATACTGAATGTAGCTGGTATTTTCATAGGAAGAGGAGGAAGTAATGGTCCGTCCATTGGTATTGGTAGAGTTGGAAAAATGGGAGGTATAAAAGGTGGAAGTGTTGGTGTTGGAGCAGGTGTTTGTGGTTGTGGTTGTGGTGGTGGAAGAACTGGTTGAATTACTCTTGGTTGTGGAAACATTCGTTGAAGTACAACTGGCTGTGGAAACATTAGTTGAGGTACGGTCAGTTGTGGAAGCATTTGTTGAGCTGCTGAGGGTTGTGGAAATGTTTGTTGAGGTACTGATGGTTGTGAAAACATTTGTTGAGATGCTGATGGTTGTGAAAACACTGGTTGATGTACTATTTGTGGTTGAAACATTGGTGGTGAATTCATTTGTGGTGGAAACATTGGAGTTCTACAAAGTATAAAAAATAAATGTATATATTAAAGTTAAAAGTTTACGACATACGGCATTGGTATGAAGGGAGGAAACATTACAGGTAACATTCGTGAAGTCATTTGTGGAAGCATTCCTGGGACAGCTGAAGGAGGAGACGCTGGACTAAAAATGTAATAGATAAATATGTATATGTATGTATAATTATACATGTAAATCAATCAGTCAGAAATAACTTACGGAGTTGGTGGTGGAACAAGTGGACCTGCAATTCCAATAGGACCGGAAAAACCTGGCAATGGAACAATACCTGGAACAGGTGGACCTAACAGAAAAATATACATTAAAAATAAAACTAAACTCGATATCAAACAGAAACCAAATCAGTTACCTAAGGGTACATCCATTTTAGTTAGAGACGGGAATGGATTACCATTTCGGAAGAGTTTCTTGCGGTCAATTGTCGAACGTTTTTTTCGTCCATATGAATAAGATGATACACTTTGATAGTTGCCAGTACTATGGGATGAAGAGTCATGACTATTACCATCAGATGAATAAGGAACTGTTGGCCAATCACAAACATTTATGTGCGTATTCCAAACAAGATCAGGTGGACATGGTTTGACAAACATATGTTCAAGTGCACATTGAATGTAACAATGTGGATAGCCAGGTATTGGATACAGTTGTGGACCATTGATTGTACATGGATTTTTTGGTGGTTCTAGAATAAGAATAGAGAAAAAAAAATATTATAATGATTTTCAATCGTTCAAAAGATCTTACGAGGTCCACATTTAGATAGATCAAGTTTTTCTGTGTAATAGGTCGGATATTCGGCTGTTGATTGAAGACCATAAGGTAGACCACTTTGTGTAAATTCATTAGTTAAACCATGACTATTAATTTTGCCGTATGATGAGCCACTGTAACTATCACTGCTGCCATGAGATGTTGATCCACTAGACTTCATCGAGCTGCCAAATGTTGTTGATTCACGACCAGATTTTTTATCTTTACCGTACAATGTTGAGCTAGTAAATCTGCTGGTATCACCTAAAGATGATTCACCACCGGAGGACTTCATTTCACCACTATATTTGTTATCTTTACCATATAATGACGAGCT